AGCATCTCACATTGTCCTGCATTAGAGATTAGGAGGCATAACAGATCTACCTAATACATAGACACAAACCCAAACAGGTAGCCAAAATGGAGAGACAAAAAAACAACCCCCAATTGAAAAAACAAGAAAATTCTCCAGAAGAAGAGATAAATGAAATGGAGATAAGAAATTTATCTGATATAGAGTTCAGAATAATGATGGTAAAGATGCTCAGCAGCATGAGAAAAGATATAATAACTATGAAAAAAGAACAGTCAGAAATAAAGGATGAAATAGCACTAATAAAGAACACTTTGGAGTGAATACACAGCAGATTAGGGAAAGGTGAGGATTGGATCAGTGAATTAGAAGACAGGGTAGGGAAAAAAAATCAATCAAAGAACCGAAAAGAAAAAAAACAATTAAAAAACAGGAAAAGAGCGTAAGGGAGCTGTGGGGCAACATGAAATATAATGATATTCACATACTAGGTGTGCCAGAGGGGAAGAAAGGGAGCAAGGATCAAGAACATGTTTGAAGGAATAATGGCAGAAAACCTCCCTAATCTGGTGAAGGAAAAAGTCATACAAATTCAGGAGGCACAGAGAGTCCCAAGCAAGAAGAACCCAAACAGGCCTATGCACAGACACATCATATAAAATGCCAAAAATTAAAGAAAAAGAGAGAATCTTAAAGGCAGCAAGAGAAAAGCAATTTGTTACCTACAAAGGAATTCACCTAAGGCTGTCAGCTGATTTTTCATCAGAAACTCTACAGGCCAGAGGGAATGGCATGAAGTACTCAAGGTAATGAAAAGCAAAGATCTGAAACCAAGATTACTATATGCAGCAAGGCTTTCATTCAAAATAGACAGTGAAATAAAGAGCTTCCTAGACAAAAAAAAAAAAGGCTAAAGGGTTTTATACTACTAAACCAGCATTGCAACTGTTAAAGGGACTGCTGTAATGAAAAGAAATAGAGAGAGAAACATAGGCATACAGAATTAAAATGGCAATAAGTAAGTATCTATCAATGATAACCTTAAATATAAATGGTTTAAATGCTCCAATCAAAAGATATAAGGTAGCTGAATGGATACAAAAAAATGACCCAATTATATGCTGTCTACAAGAGATCCACCTCAGAACAAAAGACACAGAATGAGAGTGAAGGAATGGGAAAAAGTTTTTCCAGACAAATGGAAATGAAAAAATACGTAGGGTAGCAATACTCATATCTGACAAAATAGACTTCAAAATGAAGGCAACACACGAGACAACAAAGGTCATTACATAATACTAAAGGGATCGATCCCACAAGAGAATATAACCCTGGTAAACATATATATACCCAATATAGGAGCACCTAAATATATTTTAAAGACTCCTAGAGACTTTAAGGCAGTGGTTCTCAACCTTCCTAATGCCACGACCCTTTAATACAGTTCCTCATGTTGTGGTGACCCCTAACCATAAAATTATTTTCATTGCTACTTCATAACTACAATTTTGCTACTGTTATGAATCATAATGTAAATATCTGATATGCAGGATGTATTTTCATTGTTACAAATTGAACATAATTAAAGCATAGTAATTAATCACAAAAACAATATGTAATTATATATGTGTTTTCCGATGGTCTTAGGTGATCCCTGTGAAAGGGTTGTTCGACCCCCAAAGGGGTCACGACCCACAAGTTGAGAACCGCTGCTTTAAGGGAAAGATCAATAGCAATACAGTCATAGTGGGGGACTTTAACACCCTGCTGACTTCACTGGATAGATCTTCCAGATCAATGAAACCAAGAGCTGGTTCTTTGAAAAGGTAAATAAGATTGATGAAACATTAGCCAGATTCATCAAAAAACAGAAAGAGGGGACCCAAGTAAATAAAACCAGAAATGAAAGCAGAGAAATAACAACTGAGTCCTAGGTTTGGCTCAGTGGGTAGAGTGTTGGCCTGTGGATGAAAGGGTCCCAGGTTTGATTCTGGTCAAGGGCTCTTACCTTGGTTGAAGGCTCCTCCCCAGCCCAGACCCTGGTAGGGGCTCATATAGGAGGCAACCAATCAATATGTTTCTCCCACATCAATGTTTCTCTGTCTTTCCCTCTCTCTTTCATTCTCCATAAAAATAAAAAAAAAATCAATGGAAAAATATCCTCAGGTTAGGATTAACAGAAAAACAAAAAAAGAAATAACAACGAACACCACAGAAATACAAAGGGTTGTAAGAAAATACTATGAACAACTATATGCCAACAAGCTGGACAATGTGGAGGAAATTAACATATTCCTAGAAAAATACAATCTCCCAAAACTGAATCAGGAAGTATTTGAAAACCTGAATAGGCCAATAACAACTGATGCAATAAAAGCAGTAATCATAAAACTCCCAGCAAACAAAAGCCCTGGTTCAAACTTCACAGGGGAGTTTTACCAAACATTCAAAGAACTAACACCTATACTCCTCAAACTATTAAAAAAAAAAAATCCAAGAAGGAACACTTCCTAGCTCTTTTTATGAGGCCAGCATTATCCTAATTCCAAAACCAGACAAAGACACTACAAAGAAAGAGAATTATAGGACAATATTCTGATAAACATAGATGCTAAAATCCTTTTGCATTCGACCTATAGTAATGGAGAATTAACAGATTTCTGTTATCAGCCAGGGCAAGACTTGAGCCAAAATATCCTATTTTAGAGATAAACACAAAAAAATGTTCCAAGACAGTTGTCCACAGCTTGCTCCGTGCCTTCTCTGCAAACCTCCAACCATCTGCTGGGCTCCATGCAGAGACACAATGTGGTAGTCAGTCAGCCCAACAAGGGAACTCATGTCAAGACCATCTTTATAACTCTTTGGGTCGGAAAGGAATCAGCGCTAAATCTCAGCCTTATAACAGGTCCTCATCTTCCTCCATCTTAGTAAACAAGTCAGCGGACTCCATCAACTACCCTAATGAAATGGGAAGGAGACAGCTGTTGTCTTTACACAACAATTCAAGGTGTGAGAGTCACCGGGATTTGCTGCCAGGTACAGGTGACTCCTGTCAACAGGGTATTGGAAAACGCTCAGATCTCACTCTCCAAGACTCACAGAAAGTTCTGGTAGTAAATAGGAATTTGCCCTTAAATGCCCAAATAGCTACACAGAACTATTTTTCCAATTTCAAAGAGACTAAAGGAGACAAAGATGACTATGTGGAAATAAAGTCAGAAGATGAGTCAGAGTTAGAGCTATCTCACAATCGTAGAAAGGAATCTGACCCAAAGATTGTGGATGCGGGTTTTTCTGATAATGTCAGCAGGA